AAGGATCGCTCAGTGAGCGAGTGACGGCTGCACCGAACCACACTACAAGTCACCGCCATCGAGCCAGTGCTGCTCGCAGAGGCTCACTGGGTTTCCCAGACTGGAGCTGTTTGCAGTACGAAGCCGAGTCTTCTTCCGCAGAACTGCTGACCACGGGGGTAGCAGCCCAACGTGTAACCACACCACCACCAGGGCTCCTCTAACATTCAGCCGGCAGTCTCCATTGCCCTGGGCTTAAGTTCCCCTGTAAGCAGAGGGGCACACACCAGATTACGCAGAGCCGGCACAGTAAGAGCCTTGGTGGTACAGTGGATTACACCCTGGCGCTGCTCACCTCAAAGCCAGCAGTTTGAAACCACCAGCCACTGCTTAGGAGAGAGGCGAGGCTTTCTACAACCCGTGTTAGCCTCGGAAACCCACAGGGGCAGTTCGATTCTGCCTGGCGGGGGTCACTGTAGCTCGGAACCCACTGAAGGTAGAGAGCTTGGTTGTGGAGTTTTGAGGCCTGGGAAATGAGCGTTGGTCCTTTCCCCAGAGAAGCCCAGGGCTATGTCTCCTCCCTGCGAGCCCAGCACTGCGTGGCTTCACCAGGCCTCCTTACTCCTCAGCCCACCAGGCTCAGTTCGACTCTCCCCTCTGACAGGGCTCTGGGAGCAACTCCAACACCTGGCCCTGACCCTCCAGGGCAGAACGTCTGTCTCCGGGGGAGTGGCTTTTCATGGTTTCTTAGCCCTGAGCCTAATTCCTGGTCCCTTGCCCCATACAGGCTCCAAGATTACAGAGGGAGGGCCCCTTTGACATGCATTTCCTCACACCCTCAGACATGGACAAGGAATGCCGGTCAAAGGTCACAAGGCCTCTCCCACTCTCCCCTTTCAGGCCTCAAGGATGGGCGGCCTGGGCCAGATCTGGCTTCTCCTCCTCCCTCCCACCCAGGTACACACAAAACCACAAGACACCCGTTTGTCCAATCACATATGGCTTCTTTGTCCCCATCAAATAACTTTATTCACACAAACGTCCCTTAATTTACAAAGCCGCAGTCATTCATACACATCGGGGGATCCACAGTGTTCGAGGAACTTAAATATAGCATATGTATCATACCAACCCAAGTAAACCAAGTACAAAAAATATTCATATAAAGTTGTTCACACGTAGGTCCTAGATTACCAGCTTCTGTGCAAAAAAAAGAAAAAATCATGGGAAGAATGAACTAGTATCTGAAACTAACGTTGGGCCTGGGTTAAAACCTCCCAACCTCCCTCAACCGGCTATGTGGGTGCCACACACAAGCTTGAAAGTCGCTGGAGTATATTCCGCTGCTGCCCGGAAGAGAAGCCCCCGGGCAGGGTGGATGCCAAGTGTCCCGGAAGGAGACTTCCTCCCTTCTGTTCTGCCCGGGAAGCTCATGGGGCTGCAGGCCACTGACAGCCATGTCGGTGCTAAGGGGCTCACCACTAAAAACAGCTAGGATCCTAATGTTATACTTCTGGTTCTCTTTTGGGGGCCCCTCTCCAGACATGTCCCCCTACTCCTGAGCTTGAAGGGGAGCCTGGCGGAGGCAGTGGACTGGCCTCAGCCTCTCAAACTCAGCACCCTGAAGTCAGCCTCCCGAAGATTCCCAGCAGCTGTCTGGAGGCTGCCAGGTCGGGCTAGGATGGGGAAACGGAGGCAGGGTGACAATCCAAGAGACCAACTGCTCCAAGTAAGGGCCACAGGTGCTCGTAGATGTGGGGGCAGAGGGACTGTGAGCAGGATGATGCACTTGGGTGGGGGCTGGAAGCCCAGGCAGCTTGGGGTGAGGTGAGGGCGGAGTGTCAGGGTCCCCTCCTGGGGAGGGGGGGGCGGGGGAACCGTCCAGCCAACTCCGGCTTTTCTGAGCTTCCACAAGAGACCTCAAGGTTGAAACCCAGACATCCGTTCTGAGAAGACACTTTCTAAAAATGGTAAATGGTCAACAGCACAAAAAAAAAAAAAAAAAAAAAAAAGATTCCCATAATGCCAGTTCTTTCTTTTCCTCATGGAAGAAAGCAAGCAAACGTAATCATCTTATTGCTCCACACACTGGTTTTTCTAGGAGACGACTGATATGTTAAGAGGCTGAGAATCTGGGTGTGGGAAATGGTCCAGGCAGGGAACGTCCAGGACAGGAAGGTTGGCCGTGTGAGAGGGTGAGTGAGTGGTCCTTAGCACCACAGGGTCAGGGCAGCGAGCAGAGGGCAGGCTGTGGCATCCCCGGCGGTCCTGTCCAGAGTGTAGGACTCTGGCTTACGGTACGTGATGTGCACACTTCCCGGGCTGTAAACGGGGTTATTTCTTCAGTAAACATGTAGCACACACCCTCAGAAAGGGGGTCCCGGGAAAACCTCGTCCAGGTGGTGGTGAAGAACATCCCTCTGGCCCGAGGCCTGTGGGATGAGAAGAGCCTCTGACCTTAGGCCCCCAGCCCCGCTGGCGCCAGACTCGACAGGACAGACTCCAGCATCCTCAAGGCCGGAGGGCACGTGACAGGGGACTAGCCAGGCAGTAAGAGGCAGAGAGTGCAGTTTCTCTGGCCCTGGCTAAACCTGCTAGGTGGTGCGGAGACGGCGTCTGACTCCAGCCCTCACGAAGTTACAGGTGGAAGCCTGCTCCCCCTGCTCCCAGGGTAGGCCTTCCCACACGGCGGCAAGTGGGGGAGCATGCAAGTGACCAACAGAATGGGGAGGGCACCCACACACTTGCAACGGGGCCTGGTGGGGAGAGGAGAACAATGATATAAGGCACTGTGATTGGTCCTACAGCTTCTGCTTCAAGAACCTCATGCCACCCTTCCCACAGGTCCAAGAGGAGAACTGTTGGCTCGTGGCTTGGAGACTCCTAACTAAAACACTGACGGGCCAACGAACTTGGTGGCACTGAGATGATGCCCCAGAGCTGCTGCCAAGCCTGGGGCCTTGGGGTCGGGGCGGGGACGTGAGGGGAGGCAAACAGTCAGAGGAGGCTGAGCCACAATGGGAAGTGGTCAAAGTGGCTGTACAGGTGCCCCCTGGGGCTAACCCGGGGCTTATCCACTGACGGGGGCCCAGCCAGCCCCAACTTAGAGCTGAGGCTGGCTAAAAGTGTCTGTGAAGTGAACTGAAAAGAGATGGCTGGAAAGGAGAACAGAGGAGAGGAGAGGAGAGGCAGGCACTTGGCCCAAAAGAGCTGGCCCTCATTGGGCTAGCAGATGAGCCACCACCACCACCACGTGCCGCGGGAAGCGTGTGCGGGAAGCAGGAAGAATGAACCACCAGGTGGCTCCAGGGCCTCGGCGGGCTTCAGCACCCTGCGGAGGGGAAGGCAAGCCCAGGACAAGAGACATGTTAGACTTGAGCCCTCACACGGGGGATGGGGGCCTGGGGCTGCAGGCAGGCAGAGCTGGGAAGGCCAAGTGTGGGGACTCATGTGCAGAGCCAGCTGTCCCCAAGAGAAAGGGGAGGGGGAGGGAAGCTACACTGCAGTTAGGGGTGCCACTGCTGCAGTCCCCCCAGTGGGCACCCTGGAGGGAACCGCCAGAAGGGCTCTTTCCCGAGCCAACAGGCTGGGTGGGTCTCAGGCAGGGAGGGGAAAGGCCTGGCGATGCCCTCGCCTGCTGGATCCCCCTTCATTGCAGCCAAGGGCGAGAACCCACGGGAGGAAGACGCCCTGGTGTTGGAGGGACTGGAGGGCAGCTCTCTCCGGGAATAAGAGAACCACTACAGGTTGCGGGCCGCTCCCAAACTCCTGGAGCCAAAGGACTCCGTCACCGAGGAACGCAAGCAAATGTCCTCCAACCCTGTGCTGGTTCGGGCAAAACGGGGACCAACACAAAAGAACAGGCCCTTCCCCGTCCCCCAGAGGCTCTTCCCTATCTGGACATAATAGCGGCCTCTGGGTTGCCAGATTCGCATCCAGCGAGGGGCATGGCGGAAGTGGCTCCCATCTTCTACACGGTTCAGAGGAGAAGCAGAGACCCCACGGGAAGCCGCAGTCCTGATAGGGAGCACGAGAAGCTACACAGACAGGCGAAGGGGGCGGGGGTGGTGGTGGTGGTGGTGGTGGTGGTGGTGGTGGTGGTGACGGCCAGGAGGGTTACAGGGTGGAGAGTTCTTATTTGCAAGACCCGGGCACGGTGATCCCGAGGAGTCTACTGAGTTGACAGACAGCACCCTGCTCTCAGCGAACACGTCCCTGGAGGGGCAGGCACCCAGCAGAAAGCTCTGGGGGCGAGGCGAGGGTGTAGTACCTGTGCTACATCTACAGGCACAGGGCACCCCTTAACTGCACAGAGGAAGAGACAGGGGCAGCCAGCTCCAGATACCCTGTTATTATGGCACCGGTCGCTCCTGGGTCTTAGCAGTGAGGCCGTCTCTGCTCCAGCCAGGACCCTTGGTGCACACACCTCGGAAGACCTCAAAGCAGTGACAGATGCCCACCGAAGACCCCGTTGTGTCCCCGGCAGAGGTTTGGCACAACAGTCTCCTTGGGGTTTTGCTCTGGAGGAAGAACTTAGGAGAAAAGCAGACCTGAAGGCAGCGGGGCATCGCCCGCCTGCCCTGCTGCAAAGGGCGGGAGAGGCCCCGGCTGCAGGGCACACACGGCACCGCGCAGAACTTCCTGCTCCGTCCTCTCGGCCAAGCCGGACCGGCTTCTTCCAGATGCTTCTTTGCTTCTGCTCATCTCCAAGGCCCAAGGGCGAGCGGTGGCATCCGGAGGGCAGGTGGCCCTCAAGCCTCCCGAATCTTCATACCCTGCCGCTCCAGGCGGAATCTTCCAATTCCCTCTGGAGAGGAGAGTCTGGGCCCTTCTTCAGGGAATCCAGGTGGTATTGTGTTAATAAGCTGAACGGAAAGGTGGGTGAGACAAAGAAAAAGTAGTGGGAAGGGCAAAAACAAAAAGCTCCCGGGCTCCTTATGAAAATGAACATATGCTTTGTCCGTTATTGAATCGCTCTTAAAAGAGATCGGTGCTTGGGCACAGCATGCTTCCTGCTCTTCTGAAGTCGCCACTAGTTTTTTAAGATTGGGGGGACGAGGGGAGGACACACACAAACCAAGAGAGCAAACTGAAAGGGTTGGGGCTAGGGGGGCATCCAAACAAGAGCTTCACATTGCCGGAGATCCAGGTGTCAGGAGATCGCCAACTAGTCACGCCGCCCCCTGTGGGCTCTGCTCCGGGCGAGCTGCGCTGAGCGTGCAGGTCCCGAGGCTGGCATCCACCTGGAAGACACAAGGCAGCAAGCAGTGGGCATTGGTCCTGTGGGTGTGAAGGCGCTGGCGGCTAGGGCCTATGGTGGTAGTCTTCTAGATACTGATGTGACTTACCTCTCACTTTACCCTCCAGCACTCTGAACTCTGACACGATTCCTACTTCTCAGACAAGGAAACTGAGGCACAGGCTTGGCTACCTGCCCAGGGTCACATCAACTAATATACAAAGCCTGGCTGGGCACCCAGGCATGCTGGCTCGGGCCACAAATCCCAACAGGAACCCACCCCCAGCCCTCCAACAGCTCTGCTGCAGACGCACAGACCGTGCACAATGTCCCCCCATAGGCCTCGCCAGCCTGGCTTCCACTCCTCCCCACGGGCCGCCCCCGCACGGCTTGCTGACCATA